TAGGACATTTCAAAATCAATTGCAAGGGAGGTTTAAAACTAATTTAAACAAGTTTAAAAACTATTTAAATAAGTTCAAAAATCATTCAAGTAATTTCAAATCTCAGTCAAGCAATTTTAAAACTTTTCACATGGAACACTTAAGACCTTCAAAAATTAATTAAAAAAGTTTAAAAACTATTCAAACAAGTTCAAAGACTCATTTAAACAACTTCAAAGATGATTCAAACAAGTTCAAAGATTACTCAAACAAGTTCAAAGATCATTAAAGCAATTTTGATCACTTTTATCATTTCAAAACTACAATAATTTTTTAGCTAATAAAGCTAACAAAAATGACAACTATGATGATGAAGGTGATAATAAAGTTCGTGATGTCTCTTATTCTGATGATGATTAATGGATGTTTTTTTTTTACTAGTTGCAAAAATGTACAAGTTTATTTTTATTTTTTTACATTTAGAGTTAAATTAATATTCATATCATTTAGGGTTTTTTTTTTCATAAATTTACTAATAGTTGTACATGTTTCTTCTTATTGGATAGATATGGTTGTGGTGAAAAACAAGTCAAAGGAAGGCCTTTGAGGCTAAAGCAGTGCTAGTAATGCTAGCCCTTCAATTGGCCGACCTCTTTTGTCGTTGCCTCCACCTCAACCGACCCCCTACCACCGTATCCTTCCATTAGACGATGAACTCCCATTACTTCAGTTGCAGATAGTAAGGTACAGTCAAAGAAAAAGGTATTGAGGCCGAGTCCGATTACTTTAGTCGAAATCCCTACTACTCTAGATGATGATATTGCGTCCAACAGCATATCACGGGCTAGGGGCCGAGGGTGAGTCTCAGCTTGTTGACTCTAACTCATCTAAATCGATGGATATTACTTCATCCTTTCAAAAGGAGCTAATTTCCTTTAGACAAATTTATATCATTAATTATATCCACTCGATATTTAGTTAATTAAGTAATGAGTTTTACTAACCAATAAGTCTTTTTTTAGTACTTTTGAGGAAACTAGTGTTACTCTCACAATTATGAGGATTATCAAGAGTAACTTTAGTGGGCCTTGGTCGATATGGAGGTAGGTTCCTTTAGAGCATAAGGACAACATCTAGCAAAAATTTGAGGTACCGTAAAGATATAGTATATATTATTGTAAATATATCATAATTTTTCATACTAAATTATATTTTTCATGTAAGAATATTTCACATGGGCTATTGCAGATGCAACAGAGGTGAAGTTCATATGGGAGAAGATCTACAAGGACCAAATTAAGGACCTATTAATGGATGAGCATGATAAGGCAAAGAAAGAAGTGAACGGCCTTTACGTCGATCTTGTATTGACAGTGGGTAAGGCATAACTGTGGATCACTGTTGAGGTATAGGACCAGCTTGCTGATCAGGTATAGTCAACACCAGAGTGGCAATCATGCTCATGCAAGGCAAAGTAGAACTACCTCACATAAAAAGAAGGTAGTTTGTCAAAACATATCGACGGTTCCTTGCATTTCACCCTTCACCAAAAAAGGATGGTAAGTGCTTTTATTTTAATATATATATTACATAAATCATTCAATTTAATCATATAATTCTTTATGTTAATCAATAATTGCAATACTTTTAATGATGTGTATATTTTGTTTTTCACTTTTTATGCTTACATGAAGAGGAAAAAAAGTGACAAGTTACATTCTCTGAGCTTTTCGAACACACTCACAAGTGGCATAAGGGTACTAAAGAATTTATGGGTAACAAGTCCAAGATTGTTTGTGAAAATAATGTGTGTTTATATATATTCGATATATATGTTGCTTATGATTAAATAGCTTAATAAATTACTTGATTTTCTATTTGTAAAGAGCATACACTCAGGCAATAGTGGCGAAGTATGGTGCAAAGCCGTCGAGGCAACCAAAGTTTGATCTAGAGGCATGGACCAAGGCCATTGGAAGGTTGATGAGTACCCAAACCCATGTATGCAGATTTGGCACCTCAATCCATACTTCGAGATTTCTAGTTACAATAGCAACATTTAAGTCTGTTTATGGCCTTAACAATGCACCACTTTCCACGTTGACTCCTACGCTTGAGCTTGAGGGATATCGACAATTGCTTGGCTACATGAAGACCTTGATGACAAGTTTCATTGATATTAAGTGTTTGCTGATAGATGTTAATTGGATTTGGGAGATTGTAGTTTTAGTTAGACGAGTCCAGGCCTTCAAAGCCTCCACCACAATAATAATAGCAGTAGCGACTCCCACCCCTATAGTGAGATTTGTTGACGAAATATTTGGATTATTGACAAATGTTTACATTAGAATATTTTTTATTAATAATGATTTCTATTAAATTTTCATATTTTCTATATGCATATTTGTTTGCTATATGTTTACTTTACCAATAATAGCATCATATCATAATTTTATTACAAACAAGAAAAATTTAATTTCCAAAACAAAAAAAAAAACTTGCATTGTCATATTACCAACAAAATTGCTGATGGAGTTCATCTATTAGCAATGGATTTCATCAGTTATTAACAAAATTGCCAATGGAGTTCATACGCAATACCGATGGATTACCAACGGAATTGGACATTGCCAATGGATACAACTGGAAAGCTTCACAGTTGGTTCCATCGATAATCCGTCTGTAATTTCGTTGGTGATTAACGACAAAATTGTTGACAAATATTATTTTGTTGATAATTAATGATGGAATTTACCAACAGATTTCAACAAAAACCGATGAACATTTTAGCGATGAAACCAACTCTTTTTTGACGGAATGGTCGATAAAAATTTTGACTAGTTATTTATCGATGAAAAATTCCATTACCAATGGATTTTGCATTATCAGTGACGTCTTTTCTGACCGAGTGCTAATGAAACTTTTTGTCGACAAATCCATTACTGATGCATGATACCGATGGAATATTATATATTACTGATAGAACATTTCATTGGTAATACCCTTTGTTTTTGTAGTGATCTTTACCACAATGCAGAGAAATTTATTTGGACGAACCTTGAGACATAAGCTTGTCGATCCGCTTACTTTAATTGAGTTCCATTTTTGAGCCACAACATCAGAAAAATCATAAGAAGACAACTAACAATCAATAAAACAAAAGGGTCGAGGACCCCAATCCATGGAAAGATTGAACGGATAGAAAGAAGGTCTTCACAAAGTGGAAGTTTATCAACAGCCTCAGATAAGAATAAATTTATCTTTAAAAAGGACATCTTTAAAGATGAAAGAGTTTGTCCCAAACAAAGAAGATGCCACTAGATCTTCCATTAGTTGGTTTGAAAAACCATTCTAGGTTATCAAATTGCTAAATTCCTTTAATGATTCTATCATCAATGGTTTTCGGTTTTGTTTCTTGTATGAGAAACATATCAACCTCATAATGAAGGACTACCCTACGGACCATGTTGATCTTCAGAGAGCTACTCGAGGCCCTAATTTTCCAACAGAGAAAACATAGATTTCACATAAAAGAAACCAAATACAAAATGTTAGTAAAGGAGTGAGCAAACCAAAGATTCAGTCCAAGAAACCAAAATAACAACCACATCAGTTGAACATGGAGAAAAAATCAAAAACCAAAAAATAGTGTGAACTTATATAAACCTTACCAGATCAGATAATTCTTAAGAAAAAAAATATACAGTTGATAACAAAGACAATTTGGTAGCGAACCATTTTTGCACAATTACTTTATCACTTAGCCCAAGATTATCAATCACAGCATGTTCAGGGTAATGGGGCTAAAGAGCAAACCCTAATTGTTTGTTGAGATTCCAAGTAGAGACTACTTCACTGGTGTTAACTGATGCATTGGATTGAGTGGCTTTCCGATTTAGAATTTGAATGCCATTTTTCCTTAACCTCTTTAGGCCTTTTCATCTCTTCTTAATTTTGTTATCAAACTCATGAAAGGAATCATTAGGGGATAGAGATATACTTTTCGAAAAAGAGTAAATACCTTCATCAGAGTTAGAATTGACAGTGGATTATTGAAGTGAAATGTCCTGATTTGAAGGATGAATAGATGCGAGTGAGCTAAAGGTAGATTTGGAGAATGTATGAATTTGAAAAAGGGAAAAATTAATGTCAGGGTGGGCTATTTGGCTTGAGTCCAAATCCACAATAATGTTTAGGTTGTATGGTTCAAAAATAAACTAGGTTGGGAGAGTGCAAATGGGTAACATCACTACCAAAAAACATGCGTTTTTCGACGAAATTTTCTGTTGAAAATACTTAGAATTCCATTGGAAATACCTTTTTTTCACGAATTTTCAACGAAAAAATCCATCGGTAAAAGCCTCGTTGGTAATACTTTCCGTTGAAAATCCGTTGAAAATTTCCAACAAAAAATTTCATCAAAAAATTTCATTGGAAAAGTTGCATAATCTGTTAGCTACCCTATAGTAATTCCTTTGGAAAAGAATTTTGAATGGAATTCTATTGAAAATTTTCAACGAAATTTCCGTTGAAAAAGAATTTGCAATGGAATTCCGTTGGAAAATTTTCATTGGAATAGCATTTCCCACGCAAAATTTCGTTGGAAATTTTCGATAAAAATTCTGTCGGAAATGCTTTTCCAATGAAATATTACATTGGAAATTACCAATGGAATTTTCCATTGGAAAAGCATTTCTGACAGAAAATTTCCTCAAAAAAGCATTCCCAATAGAAAAATTCTGTTGGAATTTTCCAGCATACTTTTTTGTTCAAAATGCATTTCTACCTGAATTTCATTGAAAATTTTTAATTAAAATTTCAATAATAAATTATCAATTGACATACACAATTAAGTTTCAATATATATAATAGAAACACACATTAAAAACTAAAATTCAAACTTAAGTTCATACAATTAAACATGCTCATAAACACACAATATCTAAAAATGTCAAACACATATTAATATAAAGCTAAATATGTTATTAAACACCTATACTAAAAAGTATCCAAGTCTAGCAGTGAAAAAGATACATCATATCATGAAAATTGCTATGTTCTTACTTGTCGAGATTTGATCATGAAGTACCCGCATTTCCTTGTTTTAAAAGCGCATTAGCCATGATCATGGTTTCTATACATGCTATAAATTCAGTCATGCTTTCTACCATTGCATTCTTAATTTCTTCACGTATTTCTTCACGTATCTTGCTTAAATTTTTTCATAGATTTTTTACTTTTTCTTCTAATGCAATTACAGGACTGGACATGTTTAAGCTGATAGGGCCACATGCAGACTCAGATGTTGCTACATTGCAGTGGGTTTCACTCAATGGAGCTGTAATTGGCACTCGAGTACCAAACCCATACACGTGAGTGTGTGTAACCTCCATCCCTCCAATTGCTTCAGTTCAAGCATACGGATCGAATTCTAGCTGAGAAGATGAATCTTCACCATACTTCTGCGATAATACAAAATTATACATTTCCTACATAAAAAATTGAATAAAATTAGTATTCAATTATATCGTCAACTTTGAAGTAAAAATTAATCAATTTTGTACATATACTTGTAGATTTGGACTTGTTATCTATAAAATCACTATGACCCCCTAAACGCTTATGAGTGCGGTTGAACACTTCCAAAAAGCTAATATCTCATTTCATCTCAATCGCCTACACTTATTTACAACTATATATGCTCAATCATAATCGATATATATAAATAACATGTAAGGAAAAACTAAAGTCAAACTAGTAAACATATAATTTAAATTTAGTTTAAAGGAAAACCATACATATAAATTCGAAGTAAGATTAATTCATACCATCCTTTTTGCATGAACCACAGATGGAACTGAACCACCAGTGTACTTTGGCATGTTTCCTTCTTTTGGCGTTAAACGATTTTTCCTTGCTTTTCTCGATTTGTTTTCCCATTCTTCTGTACCCCATGCCGTATCGATAAGGGCATCCCAATTTTCATTTGTGATTCATTCCCTTGACATGCCTTTGCAATCCCTAATGTTGTCTGTTTTAGCTTCTGTCATTGCTTTATTCCTTTTTTCTAAAAACATATCTCTTAACCGATCGAAATAAAGTTTATCTCATATTCGTCGAACCAACAGATCTTGATTTACAGGCCAAACACATTTTTCCTACATCAAAATAATAGAGTAACTAAAAAATTTGATACAAATTAATTGAAAAAGAAGTTATAATTTAATTGAATAACAAACATAGTACTTGAAATTTGTGAAACATTAACTCCTTTATGTCATTAGGGACTTTCCTCCATGTCGACCATGGACCATGAAAGTGATTTTTTATGATCCTTGTTATTGTAGTTGTGACCCCTCGCTCAAAAAAAGTACTTGTACAAGATAAAAAAAAGTATTACATATTAAAATATATAACAAATAAAACTATTTCATTATAATAGAAGGTAACTTACCTTTCCCTAATAGAAGTTATACGCAATCTGTCCGATGGATCTACAGGAGTTTGTAATCCTACATCAAACCCCCTGCCCCTTGACCTTGAAGATGTATCATCTACACTTGCACCTAAATCAATAGATGGAGATCTACGAGAATCGTTAGTAGACGACTCATTTTCTACTTGCTCTGCAGATGCACCCAACAAAAAAGGTGGCTCAGAAGGCCCATCATTATTGACCTGCTGCGTCTATGGTTGAATGGATAGATCAGCAAACGCACTAGCATTTATGGGCAGTGACATAATTCCAGAGGCATTTGTTGATCTAGGTCTCGATTTTGAGTGCTTCCCTTTAACCATCATTCCTGCAATAGTTTTTTTATTAAAATGCATACACAAATTTAAAAAAAAATTGAAAGAAAGTATAAAAATCATCAATTTACAACAATCAAAAGTAATTCATAATCATTTGTATAATCAAAGATGCCATTGTAAAGTATTCATTTCAACCTTTATAAATATAAATTATAATAATTTTACCATATGTCAAGATCTTTCAATATTATAAACTTAAAGTTAAACAACTAGGTAACAAAAATATAAAACCAATATCATATGTGTATACCATCATCAATCACTTTCAGAATAAGCAAACTCACCCTCTTCATTATTATCACTATCATCACTTAAAGCTTCTTTGTCTTCGTCTTCAATTTCATCTTCATCTTCATCATTTTCATCTCCCTCCATCTCATTTTTTTCATCTCATCTTTTTCATTTTCATCTCTTTGCATGTCATCTTCTTCATCCTCAATCAAGAGATTAACCTCTTCATAACCACCACTTGATAAAGCTGTAAAATTATTAAGTGCTTCCGATGGAGTATCATTAATTGAAATAGACACATATTCTTGGTATACTTCTTTATTCAAATCAATTTCATTTGCTCTATCTCCACTATTAAGATTGTGAAATCTACTCTTAGCTTTTGTTTTAGGTACTACCCACTAATCATGTCGATCTCTTTTGGTTGATGAATAACTACTATAATAAACTTGGTGAGCTTGTGCAGCTAAAACAAATGGTTTATTAGTGGCAAGTATTGAGTTGTGTTTAATTTCAACAAGACCATGCAAAGGATCTACCTTAATACCTTTTTTAGTGTCAAACCAATGACACTTAAATAGCATAACTCTATTTCCAATACCAAAATACTCCAACTCGATTATATCCACTAAAATACCATAAAAGTCACACTCATAATCATTGTAAAAACTCCCTTTTATGTAGACCCCACTATTCATAATCTTACGATTTTGTCCGTAATCTAGGGTGTGAAACTTGAACCCATTTACAAAGTATCCTTTGTAACACCTTATCATACATCTTGGACTATGACAGATTTCAAGTATACATGGGTCAATTTCATCCTTACGTTTAGCAACCTACGAACATGAAATACAAAACAAAAAATTATTAATTAAATAATTAATGCCTCAATGTTATTGAAAATTCACTGCCAATTTACATAAACTTATATAATTTTTAAACCATTTCACAAATCTTGCATCATGTACTTTCTCCAATTCATCTTCCGATATATGCACAACATCTCTCGTCACCATTTTATCAAATATCCTATCATCATATCCACAATTTACAGATTAAATTCATTATTATGATTAATCATTTGAGAGTATGGTAGAATGGTACTTACGTAATATATGGGAGCATTTCTTCACAATTCATTAAAACATATAGCTCAGCAGCATAGAACTCATCCTCATCTAACAATCGAGATTCATCTAATGGACCAAAAGCTCACCAAGGATGAGTAAAAATTGAAAGATGACCAAGAGAGTCCACCTCTCCCCCATCATCATTACGTGGCACTCGATTTAATCTTGTTCGCACAGTAGGTTCAAAATACCATGAGCAAAACACGGAGATTTCCTCAATCATATAGCCTCACATATAGATCCTTCAACAGAAGCTTGATTTTTTACTTTCTTTTTCAAATGTTACAAAAACCTAAAAATCACAATATTTATCAAACTTAATAAGTACCTTAAACTCTTGTAATAAACTTTTTGAAAACAAATAACAATTATAGTACCTCTCAAATGGATACATCCATCGATACTGTATGGGTCCACCAACCTTTGCCTTATAAGGTAAATGAATTAGCAAATGCTCAATAGAGTCAAAGAAACTTGGAGGAAAGATCTTTTCTAGTTTGCATATAGTTTCACATATTTTTCCTTCCAAAGCTTTCATATGATCTACAGGTATTTCAGTTGCGCATAGATCTCTAAAAAAGTGAGATATCTCAGTAATTGCATCCCAAATTGAGTGAAGCACCATGTCACAAAAGATAATGGGGAGCAATCGTTGCAAAAAAAATGACAATCATGACTTTTCATCCCATAAAATTTGCAATCAATCTCATTAACACACTGAGATATGTTGGACGCAAAGCCATCAGATAATCTCAATTGTTTCACCCAAGCACAAACTTTTTTTATTTCCTCTTTATTTAAGGTATACAAAGCCTTAGGCTTGAAAAAGTTTTCCACTATTTTCCACCAATTCCAATTCTGGCCGTTTGCAATACACTTTCAAATCTTGTCGTGCTTTTAAATTGTCTTTCGTCTTTCCCTTAACATCCATCATTGTGTTGAATATATTCTCAAATACATTACATTCAATATGCATCACATCTAGATTGTGATGAATAAAAAGCGTATGCCAATAAGATAGATCCCAAAATATATTCTTTTTCACCCAATTATGACTTACACCATAACTCGAAATCTTCTGCTCCCCACATTTTGTTCCAAATGGGATATAAGGAAGCGAATTCAAACGTGACAATATTTCTTCAGTTGATAATCGAGTGAATAGTAAGTCTTGCTCAACTCTTTTTTTAATTAATTTATCTTTTTTTCCTCCTAAAAAGATGATTATCTCTTAAGAATTACCGATGACAATAAAAAAAACAAGGTTTCCTACCATGATCCAATATGAAAGACTTAAAGCGTTCCATGCAATAGGGACATGATAATCGTCCATGAGTACTCCACCCTGACAACATACCATACGTTGAAAAATCATTAATCGTCCATAATAATGTTGCCCTCAAATAAAAATTTTGTTTCCTATATGCATCATATGTGACAACACCCTCAGTCCACAATACTTTCAACTCATCTATCAAAGGCCTCAAGAAAA